TAGAATCCTTCCTCTCCGGCAGCAGCAGCTTCACCCCAGCTGGCAGTCAGGGCACACTACAAACTCACTTCCCATTCCCACCTCCCCAGTGCCAGCTCCCTCCCAGTCCCTATTATCATTTTTACCGTGCAAGTATCTGTGATTAAAAATGATACACAGAATAACGTGCCTATTTTATATTTGTGTTCTGTGATGTCATAGAAATCAATATATTTGAAAATGTGGGAAAACATCCAAAATCTTCTTACTGTATGTTTAAAAGTGTCTGTCCAAGAACGCCTCCTAAATGGCAAGAACTAGCGCCATCAAATTGGGTACGCAGCTTCCTCTTATCAGAACTTAAAGCAAGGTCACAGTTTGGTTATGCCAGGACATTGGGAAGTGCTTTGAATTGGATTGTTTGTCATAAAATGGAAAGGGGGGGGGGCTAGTAGGAGGGACAGTTATATGTAGAATGCCCACAGGGGGCAGCAAGGGGCCAGAGATGGGACCAGGACAGCAATAACCGCACTGGGCCAGCAGGGGGCAGGGGCGGAGAAAGGGACAGCTCTCTGCTATAAATTTCAGAGAGTTTATTTGTGTCTCTCGTCCCCAACGGGGGATATTCGCCCCTCCCCTGGCTGTGCCCACTGAAGTGGCCATGGACAGGCATTTCTCACCTGGCCCCAAGCTGCTGCAGTGAGAGAGGGCTGGGGTTGTCCTCTCTTCCCAGGGCAGCCTGCAGACTAAACCCTTCCTCCCTAGCCCCACCCCAGAACAAGGATTCCAATGAAGAAAATCAAATATTTTTGAGTTAAGGACCCGAGCAGCGCCGGGTAAATAAACACCCCGCGGTATTCTATTGTCTAACAGTGCAAGTCACGGTGATTTGGTTTTGAGTGAATTGCATGAGCTAATTGTCGTTAATCAACAGTCCTGCTGTTTCCTGTCTTTGCCTTGGCCTGGCAGAGGCAGGTTTCAAAGCTCCCTATAGAGTTGGGCAAGATGCCCTCTAAGCTGCATGGCTGCACGGTCACACGGCTGCTTTTAATGAGCCCCGCTTCGCCTGGGGCTTAGGACTTGCACGTGGAGCTGCATGGAGAGGGGGGAAGGCACTTTCCTTCGGTAACAGCAGCAGCTCCCAGCCAACAGGGACACGACCTCAGCAGGGAGCTGCTGCTGTAGCTGAGGGAGACGTGCCCCTTCCCCAGCCAGGCAGCTCCGTGCGTGGAGCCCTGAGCCCCTGGCTGGCGGGACTCGGTAAGCAGCTGCAGGGCCGTGCTACCGCGCAGCTTAAGGGAACCTCGGCGTGGGGGATCAGCCCCCGCTCAGTACTGAGCTCACTGTTTAGGTTCTGCAGGTTTGGCGTGGATGGTCCAAAGTGCAAGTCCTATCACGCCTGCGGTGGCTAGGCTAGAACTGCAGCCGTTCTAACCTGGTACTGGACGCCCTGTGTCTTTCCGCAGGTGACTTCCCCAAACAAGTCAAGGTGAAGAAACTAACCAAACTGAAACCTCTGGACACTAAGCCGGGTAATTCCCATTGAACGCCAGGTCTGGTTTAACTGCATTTATCCTCCTCTTTGCTGAGTTGGAAGGCTTTGCCGCAGGGTGAGTGTTGCTGGCATCGCCCTCTGCCTCAGCAGGTAGCAATGCCGGGACCGGGACTACCAGCTCCTCTGCCGCTGTGCAGGAGCGCTCTACAGGCACACGCGTGTCCTTCCTGACTTGCGCTTTCCTGAGCGCCCCATGGCTATTACTGGGCCATCTACAGGCTGCTGACATCGAAGAAATCTACAGACAATGCAGAAGGCCCCACACCTAGCTTTAGAAACCCCCAAGGAAGACTGTGGGTGAGGAAGGGGAAGCCGTGGAGATGGTGGTAGCCTCGGAAGAGGTGTCTCCCGGTTGCTGGGAAGTACTTGTGTAGCCAGATGGGTCGTGGTATTGCACGGACAGGCTGAGAGAGGTGTTCTGTGGGGCTGTAGTGTCTTCAGGGGTGGCCTGAATCGCCCGTGCATTCCTCCCTGCCCGTGTGTCGCTCTTCTCCCTGGATTGCAGTGACCCAGCTCACGCGCAGCTCCTGCAATCCGAAACTCCCCCGCTGTGCCCCGGCACTGCAGCTCACGTGCAACGAGGCTTCAGAGCCAAGCTCCATGTGAATGGGAACAGCTCACTCCTCTGTTTCACCCCTTAGCATGAGCCTGAACCTGTTGACGTGGGCTCCGAGACTTGCTGCCCACAGCCTTGGCCGTGTTGCCTTACGAAGTCCTCGTGCACGTTTCCATGACGTCCCAGGTTCTAGTCCCTGTGGAGTCACTTGGCATCTTAAAGGAAACCTCAGTTGTAGAGGAGTAAAGCATCAGAACCGCTGTCTTGCGTGCAAGTTTCCTCTAACTGTAGCATCTGGTCAGACCCACGATGGGCGCCGGTTGGCTGGGCCTCGGGCCAGACGAGTCCTGAAAGTGGCAAGAAAGGGTCCCGTGTCCCTCTGCACCTAGCCAGCAGGCACTGCCTCGTCCTTCCCGCCGCAGACACGGGCCACAGCTGGGTTATATTTAAAGCACTAACAAAGCCTCTTGCCCTGCAAAACGCACAGCAGCAAGGTCACAAGCTCCGCCCTCTGCACCAGCTCCCCGTGAATAGTGCAGGGTGCAGGCCCTCGCGGGAACGGACCCTAACTGGCCGAGTGTTGCCTCCCACCCCCATGACAGTTACGTTCCACTGGAGAAATGAAGCTGTTGGCTGGTAGGGGGAGAGAGGCTTGTGAGGTCAGAGACAGAACTTTCAGAGCAGCTGGGCCTAGACTCGGAGACTGAGCCCATCAGTGGCTATTGGCCAAGATGGTCGGGTGCAGCTCCTAGACCCTAGGACTCGGTGGCAGGGCATGGAGCATCCAGAACTGCCCTGTTCTGTTCATTCTCTCCAAGCGCCTGCCATGGGCTGCTGTCCGAGACCGGGCACGAGGCTGACCAAGTAGGGCCTTGCTTATGAATTAATTTCTGCAGGGAGATGAGGCCAAAGGCCTCGCCATGCTGGACACATGCTGAGACTTCAGATATGTTCTTGTCACAGACCTGCAACACGTCCCCTCGCGCTCGGATATTAAACACGTCAGGCTGTTTAACCTGCAGCGGGGAGTGGAGAGACATTTCTGTCACGTCCGTTGAGCGTTGGGGAGGCTGTCCGATATCGTGGTGGGAGTCATAAGTACCTAGTTATCTGACACCATTGAACAATTCAACTCAAGCCTGGTCCTGAGCTAACT